GCGCGGGGCGGAAAGGCAAGAAGGGTGTGGAAGATACGTCGGCAGCCGAGCGAGCAAAAAGCAGGGATTTTTGGATCGTGGAGCATATGATTGCTCTGGTTCGAGCTAAAAGAGACCAGGATTTGCATCTGGCCGGCCTGGGGCACAACTACGGACGGATGAAGTCGGAGACATGGAAGTGGGACGACGTCGACAAGAGGCTCGTGCAGATGGGGGTGACGGGTAGGAAGGCCGTCGACTGAGGAAAAAAATGGGACAACCTATACCAGCAGTTCAAATCCGTGCACAAGTTCATGGGAGAATCCGGGAAGCCTAATTTCTTCACACTAATTTCGGGGGAGAGGAAGGAACGGGGGTTCAACTTTCAGATGGATGAGCGTGTGTATTCGGAGATGAAGGCGATGTCCAGGGGCGATCACACTATACACCCCACAAATCTCATGAACTCGGGTGCGGCTGGAGGTGTTCAAATGCCCAGCCCACGTGGCGGTCGGAATGAATCCGGCGCTAGTGAGGGATGCGGGGATGGACAGGGCGACGATCAAGGATCGACGAGGGATTCGACGTTCAGCGGCGGTGGTGGTGGCGGGGACGACAATTGGGAGAATGTCAGACAGTAGACCTTCGACGCGATTGCGGACGTCATGAAGGAGCACGGGAATCTGATGGTGACAATGGTGACAGCCCGAGCAAGAGGCAGTGCTCAATTCTGACGAAGCAATGCGACATTCTCGAGCGAGAGATAGAAGTGCAAAAGGAGCACTACGAGAAGGCCGACCAAGCGAACTTCATGATGTGTAGCGCCCTTATAGATATTGCTAAAGCGATCCGCGAGCGATCTTAACGTCGCTCAGCCACACATGTCCGACGTCCGCGCGAATGCCACGTGTACACTTCCGGAGCATCGTCATTGTCGTCGTCCTGCGCGCTGCAGTGCGGTGATGGCCAGGTTGTGTAAAGAGAGCGGGTCGTTGTTGCCTGCACAGTTTTTTAAGCGTGGATTTGTTTAATGAATGTCAAAGGTATTGATTGCTTTCATGCCCCACGGCGCGTCCTTCGGATGTACAGTAGATCCTCCGATTTTAGATTTTGTTTAATGAGTGGTGTTGTGAAGCGTTGCCGCCACGCATGGATGGCGAACTTGTAGGGTCTTTTTTGGGGGTGTCGGAGAAGGAATAGGTGGCAGGGTGTGTTTTTCGGGCGGGAGGGGAAAATGGCGGATAGGGGTGCCTGGCGTTTTTGGGGGTGGCGGAGAAGGGATAGGCGGCGGGCTCTTTCGACCTCCGGCAGGGTCCTGTGCGCCCACATGCGTTGTTGGTCATGCGAAGGATGACCTGCAGCCGGCGGGGAAAATGGTCCGTACACGATCGACGAAGGGGTGGGCTGTTGTGGACGGCGAGGCGTGTCCATGGTGTATTGCGAGACCGCGCACGGTACAAAAGGAGAGTCCGGGCGCCATTCCGTACCGCAGTGTTTCAATTGCCCCATCTCCAAAGGTACCATGTATGCAGTAACTCGTCGTCGCACGCCTGCACATCCGCTTCGACGCTCCGGGCTTCCGTTTTGGGCTCCGCGGGCAGTGCCCCTTCATGCGCATCATCCACGTGCTCCTTTGAGGTCGCCATCATTGTCGCGGCTCCGCGGGCAGTGCCCCTTCATGCGCATCATCCACGTGCTCCTTCGTCCATGTGCCCGTCGTCGACCTCCACGTGCCCTTCGTCCACGTCCGCCAAGCGCCGCAGCGGTTTACATTGGCCACGTGCTCCTTGTTTTTGAGTTGCGGACGACATGGCACCGCGGGGCGCGTCAGGGAAGGGCAGGAGAGACAGCGGAGTAGGCGAGGGGGGAGGAAACCAAAAAGGCAGAGGCCACGTGCCAAAGTCCAAAAGGCAGCGCTTTGATGAGGCGAGCTCCGAAAACACAGATGACTTTCAAGTAGAGGAAGTGGCAATGGTGGATGCGCAAGGGACAGCAGGGGCGAAGCGATTGGGTTTTGGGCGGGATGGAGTGTCGAGGGAACAACTGACCGCTCACAAAGCGTTGTTGGTGGTGCCGCCGGGGCATTGCCAAGGACCCGGAAGGCGGCAGGGATTGTCATCACTGAGGCGCACGCGCTGAGGCAACTTCCGGCAGTGGTCGGGCAGGGGCAGCCACGTTAGGCACTCCCCCCACAGCAAGCAGGGGCTTCAGGGGCAGGGGAAACACCGTCCGCGCAAAAGGCTGAGGCGACGGCGAGCGGCAGTCGGACGACGGCGACGGATCACACCACTGGAAGCGGAGTCGCTGAAGATGCGAAAGAGGGGAGGGTCAATGACGTCCGCCGCGACGATGGGAGAAGAGATGGAAGGCGGGAGGGCGATGATGAGGACGACCGTCCACTTGTTGCCAAGTTGAAGGGAGTGCCAAAGGAGGATGATCTCGAAGACAGGTCAAAGTTGTGGGTTGATTGCGACACTTTTTGGGGTCAGGGCCCGGGGAAACCCTTGAGGGAGGTAGTAGGCGACTGCGCGGACTACTTCGTCGCCATCGCTAACAGAGACGCAGGAGCTGAAACGCCTTCGATGCTCATAATGCCACCCAATGATGTGTTGCGCTTCAAGATCGAGGACCCTGCGCAGAGTGAAACGGCTCTGTGCAGAGCACTCAACGTGGAGAAACTGGTCCTGCGCACCATCCATGGATGGATCTTCAAGTCATCGTCGAGGTCGACTGGCTTCGCTTGTGTAGAGTCCTACATCACCGTCAACTTTGCAACAGACGTTGCATGAGCTTTTTGGCAGGGATTAGAATGGTCGAAAGTGGTTTCCCCTGCCCTCATCTACCACACACTGGCGATGAAGATGGACGTGCCTCTGTGGTTCGCGGGGGTGAAGATTGTGGACAGGCCCAAAGACGACGACATGGCGGCGCGGCAGGAGGCGACAGTTCTCCGCCTGGCGGACTGCTGGACAGATGCACTTTGGTGCGGACAATGGGCGGACGGTGGTCGTGTGAAACAGGAGAGGTTGTCGCGGCTTGCAGATTGTCATCGAGTGTTGTTGAGCGCGTGCATGTGGATCATGCGCATGGATGGTAATGACGACCGTTCACACTACGAGGCATCATTCTACGCGTCCATGGTCGCCAAACCCACACTGATAGCGGCGGGGTCCTCCATCTTCAAATGGCGGCGACACATCGTCGACACCGCCAACCTCATCTTGGATCGTCTAGGGAAGCCCCACCTCATGCTCGGAGATTACCCGCATTGCATCCCAGAATGGGCTGATTGCGGGTTGGTGTTCGGTCACGACGTGGTCCTCAAGAATGCAGCGGAAGCCGCAAAACACAGGTGGATCGGCAGCGGGCCCACGGCGGATGAAGATGGAGATGACGACAGTTCACACGTGGGTTCATCCAGAAGGCAGCGGCGGGGTGCAGATCCTCCATGGATTGGCGCACTGATCACCTGGCGCACTGATCACCAAAGAAAGAATTGTGCGCTGTGAACGACAGACGCGTACACAGGGGCGGGATGGGGGTTGGCGGGGGTTGCTGGTGGAGCGGGGGGAAAGGTGAGTTGGCCGGTCCAGCGCAGCAATCCATCATGGCGGATCAGCAGAAGCCCATGCCACCGCCTCCTAGATGCAACGGGTGGCAGTTTGCGTTTCAACAGTGTGGCCACGTCGACAATCGGCATCGTAGTACATGTATTGTGTTCGGTTTATTTGAATTTTTGTTTTATTTGTGATTGGAGCACAATTTCTAGATGTCCTCCAAAGCCCGATTTGTGAGGTCAGTCGATGACACGTCCGCAGTGTACGTAAAACAACAGGCAAAGTCCGTCGTCGGTGTGAGGCGCTTCGAGGGTAGATAGTTTAAAGAAAAGTGGATCGCCACCTCAATATTGTAGTGTGAATGAATGGATTTCATTAAAGTCTTTTTTGTGTGTCAACGACGTGTATTTGCATGGTTGTGGAATCTTACGCACTACTGCTTTTCTTGTCTTTTGTGCGGGTTTATCATGTAACTCATGCGTTAATAACCATCGCAGTCTCGTTCACATCTTCTTACGTATGCGGCCCTTCATTCGATCTTTGAAATCGCGGCTTCGTGATCATCGTCGGCACCTGAGAAAAGAAAAGAAAAAGGAAAACAGAAAGGAAGCTAGCCATGCACTTTCGTGCACATCTTGTTATGTATGCTGCCCTTCATTCCGTCTGTGAGATCCTAGCTTCGTGATGATCGCCGGCACCAGACGAAAGCCAAAAAAAAAAGTTCAAAGGAAGGTCACCACGCAGTTGCTGAAAGAACCAAAATATCATGAGTTTCACTTTTTTTATTTTTCACTGCATGTAATTCGTTAGTGGAACACTGAAGCTTCACCAATAGACTTTACCAAATGCAGAGAAGTGTGGACGACATGCATGACAGACGTTCCATGTAGTCAACAAAAACATGTGTCCTCAAAGGAAAGGCAGAAGTCAGACGCACGAAGACGTGCTACACAAACATCACAAAAAATACATATTGTTGAACTTCAATGAAAGCAACGCTCTAAAGCACATGCGAAACAGCCCGCCGACGAAATGCCACCCCACCCCTCCCCTCCCCCAGCACCACCACCCTCCGCACTCCCCCACCGTTCACCCCTTCCCCCACCCCCTCCACCCTCCCCCCCCCCCCCCCCCCCCCCCCCCCCCCACCCCCCCCCGATTCCACGGAAACGCACGGGAGCACCGTTGCGACGAAAGTGCTCACGCAAACACCTAGCACCATTGTGTGGAACGACCGCAGGATTTGCATCATTGCTAGGCAATGCTAGCATCTTCCCCGCAAAGCCTCGTCACTGCCAATGATCGACGAACTGCACAAGCGGACTACCGTTGACTACAACAACAAAAACCAAAAAACAAACCGTTCACGACGGCAATCCCTCTAAAGTAATTGCGCGCATAAGCGAAAGACACAAGCGCTCTGAATCCACGACGGCGGAACACGACTTCAACGAAATCTTCTACGCGAGAAAGAGGCAGGCGGTAGGCAGGATCACATGTGTTTCATTCGATCCGCCAGCGGCCCAGCGCATTGCGGAGCGCGTGTGCCACGTCCATCGAAGTCAACATCGTCACTCGCGGCAGGGGACGATGAATCCCCAGGTCCACTCCGCGCCTCACCCCGATCTCGTCGGCCTCCCACAACAAATTCTCGTCGAACTCGATACCGGCATCGAGGAGGATGTTGTGGAGAATGCAGACGGTCGTGAACTGCTGCGGTAGAGTGTCGAGGTTCGTCTTGTGCGTCTGCAGGAAGAGCCTCCACATCCCCTTCAACCTCCCGAACACCCTCTCCACTTCCCCTCTTGCGACCTTCTGCTTCGTGTCGAACCTTTCCTCGTCTGGGTGCTGATTGATTCCTCTGTATGGCACCACTATCCATTCAGAAGGAGGATACCCGTTGTCGCCCAAGATGTATCCGTTCGTCCTCACCCCGCCCGGCAGCGTGACAGGCGACCCACGAAACAAAATTCCCTCTTCCGCGCGCCTCGACAGACTTGACAGCTGGATCGCCCTAATGTCGTGGCAGCTCCCCGGATATCCAACGAACACGTCAAGCACGCGGAGATCCAGGTCCACCACATCCTGCGCAATGACGGAGAAACGGTGCTTGCGGTCGAAGTAGTTCTCACCGGGCGCGTTCGCCGGTTTGTCCAGGTAGATGTGTGTGCGGTGAACTGCGCCATGGCAGTTGGGAAATTCCTTGTCCTGAAACGCCCGTAGCACGACGTGTTTCCGCACCCCCGTCAGCCACGATATCTTGTCCCCGTAGACCCTCAACAGAGTAGACCCTCAACACAGCGGTTGTCACATCGCGCACGGTGAGAAGTCCCGAAGCCCTTCCTATGCCGAAAGATGATGTGTTGTTGTCGTATGTCTCTCCTGTAGCCCACCTATACAGCTCGTAGGCGACGATCTGCGCCGGCTGAAGTGGCTCCCTATAGAACGTCACCTGTCGTTGCAAATGAGGTGCACAGGCTTCGGTGATCTCCATGAAAACTCTCCTGGACATGCGGAGCTTTTCTCGGAAGTAGTTGTCAGTCGCATCATCGCACACCCACAAATCCTCCCCAGCCCTGCCAGTTCTTCGCCTCATCCACCAACATGGCGTCGCCCGAGGAAGCACACCACACCCGATTGCAGCGCACAACTGAACCACGGCCTCCGAAGTGGTAATGCAGTCTGGGGCGTCCAACACCCTCTGCAGCAGAAGCCTCTGACGCCACCTCGAAAGCGTTGCCTTCATGCGCCCGGCCGCCCTCTCTACTTGGAATCGACGGACAATGGCAACCGCAGCCGCCGCGACAACTGTCTTCTCCGTCGTCGGCAGCACAGCACGGCCATCCCCATCGCAGCCCTCCATTGTGCCCTTCCGACAGGAAAAACAGCGTCCACCGCCACCCAGCTGCGTGCACCTCTGCCACTGCGATTGAAGACGCCTGCAATCAGGTCAGGAAGACAGCCATGCTCAACGATGTTCCACCCCGATTGGAGCGTCCGCCCACCGCCGCTGAAGTACGGAACCGCCGCGCGCCTCCACGTGGCGAGCGCAACTGCCGATACCCCTCTTCGTTTTTCCCCGCCGACCACACTTGAGACAGTGGCGGTGCGGCGCCACTGAAGTACACAAAGCGATGGCAACCAAAACCCTGTGCGGCGTGCACTGCCCCCTCGCCGACCCGCCTGTGCGCCACCCACACCGTCGCTCCGCAAGACGCAAATTCGAATTTCGAATTTCGAACGGGGCCGTTCCCGCGTTGGCAATTTTCTTTTCCAGGGCCCGTGACGTATTGCCACCGTCCGCCTGCTGGACCACCACGCCTCCTACACGGACATCCCGAATCGGAGGTCGGACAATCCCCTCGCGGCCGTGTATGATCTCATGAAACTGGGCGCAGGAGGGCCCCGAGGATTCGTCCTCGGGGCGATTCTCCGAGGACAGGTGGAACGACACCTCAAAAAATCAGAAAAAACTCCGAGGATTCGTCCTCGAACTCCGAGGACGTCCTGAGGAGTGTCTAACGACGCCCTCTGCCAGATGATTGCCAAAAGAAAACCCGGCCGAGGTTCGCACGACACACTCAATTTTCAAATCACGATTCGTTTTCTAATACTTGCAAAACCAGCACGGATACCCTCAAAAGGGTATTCGCAATTTCGCACTGACAGCAGCGATCTAGAGGTTCCGCAACATACCTGGAGCCATAAGCACCTACCATACTCTCTCAAGTGGTGCTTCGGCTTCGGCAAGCTTCGGCAAGCAGTAGGCCTGTCAATTCCTTCCAATCAGCTGCATCGCCTGCAGCGCTGGAGCCTGCCAATGCAGATCAAGGATAATCAAGCCTCCCTGCACCTTGGGATGCACGAGCTTAATTCATGCCACCCTCTTGACAGTGGCATCCGCCGTAAGATCATTCGACCTGAAAAAAATTAGCAAGTGCCCCTTTAAACCACTGCACCAGTACTTCCTAAAGTCGTGCCCGTTAACAAGCCACAATTTCAGGAACCATATGGGCCACTACAGGAGCGCCCAGGTTCATCCTACAAGAAACGTTTCCACTCTATTTTTTTTCCGCGGCCCATAGCTGGGCCGAGTACTGGAGGTTTATGATAACCACACCGTGGATGAAAGAACAATGAGGGATGTGTCCCATTTGGAAAAACCTTTTTTACCCTCTAAGGAGGCAGCTTTCCTATTCGCGGAACTGTGGCACACATGATCTGTCTAAATCTATAATAGACTTGATTCTGATGTCCAAGGACACGGACAGCGCAGTTCAGAATGCAACGTTTTTTCGATCACCCCAAGTTTCGGGGCTGATCATAAAATGTGTGTTGCCGCTGTTGCGCTGTTCACCCCAAGTTCCTCAAAATGCATCAGTTTCACCACTATATCAAGGACGTTTGGTCCTACTGACAGTCCACCTGCGTGGAAAATTGGAAATTGACACACAAGTCAACGGCTTCAACAATCGTCTGACCTTTATGGCCAGGAAATGTGATGAAATTTGAAATTTCTAAATCACGACTCACGAGCTTAAAAACTTAAAACAAGTATTCTCGAGAAATAATTCTGTAGAATCTATACCCATCTGTGGCTTTGTTGCCCGTTAGCAGACAAGCTATGGATGTGGTGGATTGAAAGCTGGAAGGTTATAACAAGCCATGGACAGACAACTGGGTTCTATACGGTATTCTGCCAAGCCAGGAAGAAAGTTACAAATGGTTTTTTTTTTTTTTTTTTTTTTTTGAGGGTTGGGGTTATTTGACGTTACCCTGACCAGGAGTGATGTTCCAAGAAATCTCGTCCCTCCGCTAGAAGAGGTGATAAGAGCACCCCCTCCTAGCGGACTGACTGGTTGCTCCAATCGATTGGTGGGGAGGAGCACCTGCTGGAAAGTGGGTCCAGCGTCCCACGGTCGGGAATTCTCGGGTTTTCAAGACGACAAAGATAAAAAAAAAGAGAAAGAAAAAAAAAAAAAAAAAGAAAGATGTTGATCCAAGAGCCACAGCACCAAGTAAAGCAGAATATATCCACCGAAACCATCCTCGCTGATTGGCTGGGCTGCCCCACAAGCAAGAAGAAGGAGCTGCCTTGGTTTCTGTGCACATGAGCGAAGGAAAGCAAGTTGCTTTCAGTCTCCTCAGATGGGAAGTTAAGATCTGTACATTGGCTTAAACCACCAGTACTTGGCCCAGCCATCGGCCGCGGGAAAAAAATAGAGTAGAAATGTTTCTAGTCGGATGAATTCGGGCGCTCCTGTCGTAGCCCGTACGTTTCTTAAAATCGTGGCGCGTTAACGGGCACGACTATAGGAAGTACTGGTAGTTTAAGCCACCCTGAAATTTCACTAAGATCAGGTGGGAAGAGGCAGTAAAAAAAAAAAAAAAAAAAAAAAAAGGTGGGAAGTGGCAGTGGCGAAGGTCAACGTGACAAGACATTTTGCTTTTAAGTGGAGTACTGCAACGACTACTACCGTCTTCCCCCGAACACAACGCACCCTCATTTTGGCTGTATCTGGCCGGAAATATAACTCGTGTACATTCATTTTAAGGGTGCGTTATGTTCGGGGGAAGACGGTAGGATCGAGCTAGATCCGTAATGGTTATATTCCACATAACTAGGTGGTCGCCGGTCGGAGGATTTCAGAGCGAAATGAGCGTAATGCCCCCTTTTTTTTTAACAAGCACAACGGCTAATGGCATGATCAAAGCGGATGATCAAGGATTATTTTGTGGATGAACCTTCGACAGTTTGGAACCGATAAGGGCCTTTCGGTTAAATCATGGGACGCTGGAGCTGATTTCCAGCGCCAGCCAAATCTGAGTAAGGCGCCCCAGACTTTTCTCCGGGTTGTTTGTGAGGATTCTCGTCCTCGCCTCCAACTTGGTAATAAAATTGCTGATTTTTCCAACAAGAAACAAAAAGAAGAAAAAAAAGATTATGTATTATGTACCCAAGGCTCGTCTTCTTGTTGCATCGGCAACTGATGCTTCACGGTTCCAAGAGTGGCTGTGGAAGACTCGGACTGGGTTCGGCAGCTGTTGGTTTCGAATGGTTGTTCTTCGGACCGGATGCGCATTGTAGGATCGGTATAGTTCACAACAAGGGAAAAAACCTAGGGTGCAGTCAAGGTTTTCAGTTTTAAATGCGTTTCAGTCACCGTTTCGCAAGTTTTTACTCCAAAGCGAGGAAAATCGTGAATATATCCAACCCGCCTTTAGGGTTTGGTTGGGTGGGGACGTGTTGTGTCTTCGAGGGATGCCTGAAGCGGATTTACAACTGAAAGACTGCGCCGTACTTACCCCTCACAACAGCTAACTGTCGTGAGGCTCTGGGCGGGGACTTAGGCTGGTGGGGTGTCTTGCATACTTCGATCCAAGTTCCTACTCTCTCTCTCTCTCTCTCTCTCTCTCTCTCTCTCTCTCTCTCTCTCTCTCTCTCTCTCTCTCTCTCTCTCTCTCTCTCTCTCTCTCTAAACTGGCATGCTGGCAGCAAACTCTACGCCGCAAATGGCTTTGACAGACAACTTTTTTTTTTTTTTTGGAGAGACGATGCTCCAATCTATTCGTGGGGAGCAACACGGCTTCGGCTAAGACCAATTGAAGAAAAGGAAAACTTCAAAACCCTTCAAAAAATGTGTATCTTTTTTTTTTTTTTTTTTTTTTTTTTCTCCCAACCACAAAACAGATAGGTGAAACATACTCAAGCTAAGCTGGCTGATGCTGTCAGTACTTCCATCCGGGTGGAATTGTGAGGTCCCCGGCCTCATTGAAATAATTTTTAATAATAAGTGCTTGGTTTAAAAAAAAAAAAAAAAAAAACCTGCTCAATCCACCTTCAACCACCAGCAGCATGGCTGTTTTCAGCACGAACCGAAGACAAACATAAACTCGGTGCACTTTTTAGACAAAAAAAAAGAAAAAGGAGGCCATCAGGGCTGCATTCCCTGCACCTCCACGGTTAACCAGTTACTATAGAGAGGATGCATACAATTGCGAAAACGCTCAAGAAGCATCGCTAACTGCTCGCCCTTCATCGGAAGGAGCAGCAAAGGACGATCGGACTTAACGATTAGACAACTGGATGCATTATTCAGGAATGCCATATATATTATATATGCTCTTGCAGCTGAAGAGTTGGAGAGACTTCCTAGACATTGCACTCTTCTCCATGGCGTGTGACAAAAAAGCCCATTCGTCGCAGAGAGGGCTAAGGCTACTTTCTTCCCCCAAATACAATGTACGGTCATTATAGCTGTATTTGATGTATCTTTCAGTCTAGATACAGCTATAATTACCGTACGTTGTATTCGGGGGAAGAAGGTAGTGAGAATGAGTCGGACACCAACCAATCCAAAAGACTACCGCTGGTTCTCAAAACAAAAACAAAAAAAAAAAAAACAAAAAAAAAACTGCTGCTCCGTGCTGTGAGGTAAATGGATAGAAGAGTATAGCTTACCCAAAAAAAAAAAAACAAAAAAAAAAAAACACGACTGCTTGCAGGGAAACCTTGAGAAGTCAACCAGACCCAAACGACTGTTGCTAGGTGGTGTGAGCCTGCAAGGTATTATTGAGAGAGAATAGTACAGCTTAGTTTTAAGGAAAAAAAACAAAACAAAGAAAACAAAAAACAAAAAAGAACGACAGCGCGGTGGTCGCAGGTGGTGCTGCAGTTAGACGGCTATGCGGTAATCATGTCCCCAGTGTTTTAATTAAACCAGCAGTACCTTTCCCAGCTATCAAGTCCAACACTCCTGCCACCAGTATGGCGCGCCTTGCCGAACGTAGAGCTACCGGTAGCAGGACAGTGTCCACTTCTAAGAACACGAAAAACAAACAAAAAACGTGTAAAATAAAATAAAATAAACGAACGAGATCCAAAAAAGAATACGAAACCAACAAAGGAAAAACGCACGGTTACGAGAGAGAGAGAGAGAGAGAGAGAGAGAGAGAGAGAGAGAGAGAGAGAGAGAGAGAGAGAGAGAGAGAGAGAGAGAGAGAGAGAGAGA